GGGAATTTATTGAACAGATCCACGAGGTTGGCGCTTGCCAACATTACGACAGAGGCGCTTCCGTACCCCCCGTGGATCTTCAAAAGGGATGCGTGTGAGTTTGCTCCAACGAAGTGGTGGGTGGGGGGGGGTCTTGCAAACTCAGCCGATTAGCACCGTCCACAGACGTCTTCTTTTCCTTTGCCACTTGATTATTTCTAACCAAGTTCACCCGAACAGTCGGATTACGTGGAGCATGCCGCACACGCCGTGCCGTGTCAGATCCTGCGAGGGTGGGGGGGGGGTGGAGGTGGGTGTCAAACCAATTAGAATTACGGGGCCACCTCCTTTGGACAGCACTCTGAGTTGGAGGGTGATGACCTTAAACACAGTGGCCCTGTGTACTGCGCCGGCAAGTACATGTCGACAACGTCATCGCAAGTGCTTTCATTTATCCGTCTGTCCGTTTTTAATTCGCCGTTTGTGTAGCAAGCACGAGCATCTGCCATGTGGGTACTCGATGCACAAGTGTAAAATGTAAAACCCTCCTGCTGTGTGCGACTGTGGTCACCATGGAACATACAACGATCTCGATGAAGGGGGCGTCACAGCGATACGCTTTGCTACTCCCGACGCAATTAACCCCCGACGCAATTATTTGGCTCAATAACCTCAATGTAAATGTTTAGTTATTCTACATCAAAATTAGCCGTATGAAGTAAAAGATTGACTGACTGACAAACAGATCAATGTAATGTCACCGACATATCCTTGCCGCATAGTTTACAGTGCTGCTGTGTTTAAGGTTGTCATCCTCTGCAGCTTAATGTTCTGTCTGGAGGAATTGGCCTGTGGCTGGAATTAGTCTGGCAATAACACCACGTGAGTATTTTTTGTCTTAGAGTCAAGTAAAGACTCAAACTGCAGGACACCAGGGCCAATGCTATTGATGACAGTCAAACTGTGACCTGTGACTTTGGTAAAAACGTAACAAAATGTTTGACCGTATTGGTCTCATTCATTTTCTCCCTTCTCATTCTTCCAATAAATGTTTTTATTAAGAGTTTTTGACGGTTTTGTAAAAAAAATTGACAAAATTACGTGTAATGTGGGAGACAAATTGAGGCTTGGGGAGCGGGGGTGGGTTTGGTGGTGGTGACCTAAAATCCGTACCTGAATAGCACGGTCGGCGACGTACGGTGCAAAAGAAATTCAACATGCGCACACACACAACTGTGGCATTTCATCGACGTTGCAAAGTGCAGGGGTTGGCAACCAAAATAACAAGAAGAGCCATTTTTCTCGAATTTCGGAGAAAAAAAATCTCTATTTCAAGAGCTGCAATGCACGAGAATACGAGACGGGGTGGGCCCTTAGTCAAATAACTGCGGCTCTGGAGTCGCATGTTTGCCGACCGCTGGTCCAGTTGGTTATAGATGTTGTGGCTGTCCTGCGGATAAACCGGTCCCTGCCATAGGAATGTGGATTTCACCCACTGGCCCGGCAAAGAGGGTAGGAGCGCCGTTAGAGGGCGAGCGGCTTTCTGATGCTTTGTCTGACCCCACGACAAACGTCTCGAGACTTCGGTCACACGCCTTGCTCCGACCGATGGGCCCCCCCCCCCCCCACACGGGGTCCCACGTCGGAAAAACGCTGTCAGCTTTAATGAATGCGGCAGGGGGATTTAAATGAAGAATCTCATTACGCGATGGTGTTGAGGAAGAAAGATCGTCGGGACCTCAATTGATTGACTAAATGGGGACGCAAATGTCAGTTTGGCCATTGTGCACGGCCGTGGCGTTTCAACCGAATTTATTATTTTTACGCTTGTTTTTCTGTCAGTTTCGTCTTACAAAAAAAAACACTCCCTCGCTTTCGCCGTGCTGCACGTCTTCAAAATGGAGGGCTTCCTTTAAGCACGCAGGTGGCGGTGGTTGACAGTTTCTACCATGAGCGACGCTTTTATAAGTTATATTCTCACTTTGGCCACAACTTCCATCAGTGGGCTTTGCATGAGACCACCGGCCAAGGAGTGCTGCTTATTGAACAGTTTGCAATGTTGAAGGGTGCTTTTTTGTTTCTTTGCCATTTCATCCAGTTGCGGTGAAGCTCACAGCGATAAAAAACCTCATTGGGTCTCGAAATATTGTCAGGAGGTGTCTGCTTGGCACAGTTGGTTACGTACGAAGTTCAACTTTACTGTTTCTCTTTGATTCTATTGTACGCCTGTATATATTGTTTGTTTGTGTGTGGGAGAAAAAACTACAGTGGTTCTGCAGAAAAGAGCAATCTATTTTCTGTTACCAACTTACATGTCTGATTTATTCCCCAAGTCATGTGCTTACACTGGTTGCGTCAGGTTTGTTTTATAACCTGTCCGCATTTAAAGCCTTTGCATGTGGTATTGTGGGATAAGCTGAAGAGGGGAGCGGTAGTGTCGTGGCTAGCGCGCTGCGCTGCGGACCCGGCGATCCGAGTTCCATTCCTGCTCACGGCCAACACCAGTGATGATTATCTTAACCGGTCGACCTAGGATCTAGGGCCTTCCCCTAGGTCGACTCAGCCTCAAACGGGAACCTGGTGCGATGTGTAAACATCGCCACTAGGGATACAAAGGGGGCCAGGCGTGGTGTTGGCAACCCACTTCCTTGTGTGGCATGCCGGCTTTCATACGTGCTTGCTAACAACACTTGCCCCAACAGTCTGTTGACGCTCTTTGGGGAATATTTGTCTTTGTAAGCTGAAGTGTGAACATCACGCTACTGTGAATATGCAGTCAAAGTTCAAAATACCTTAGGAAGGATTTCCCCCCCCCCTCCCATCTTTTTTACTTTCATCGTTCATATGAGGGTGCTAATCTATCCGTTGTCTGTGTTTATCCCGAGTGTATTGGTGGTGCAGTGATTAGCACGCTGTGATACGAACACAGCGTTCCGAGTTTAATTCTCGGTGAATTACGGTCAAACAATCCACATGACTTACCACGCTATGTGGAGGCGTTCGTGCAGCAGTTGATTGACAAAGAACTAATGCTTATATTATTGTTGTTGCTAATTTACAGTCATTCCAAACACATGGCAGGACTTCTCTTTGACCGCAGAGTTCTATTTCATTGTGCACAGCAAATTTATCACGGCATGGGATAGTGGAATAATTTAGCACACAACTCGGTAATTGGCTAATGCGGATCCTTTGTACTGCGAACCAGCCATCCTATTAAAGATGCTGACACCAACATCTTTTGGGCCCGGCTTGCATCTCGCAAACACACAATGTACATGAATGCAAATGTCTCTTTAAAAAATTTCCGGTTCCCGAATGGATTACACCAACACTCCTGTGTTTTTTTTTTATCACCTACATTAATTCTCTCTTTTTCCCAGCACTGCACCCGAACCGTATTTATTGTAATAATTTTCCTAAGCCAGCGCTTGCAAATCAGCGCGGGGCCACGCGTTGGCGTGTCCCGCGCCGCCGCACTTCCTCGCTCCAAACTGGGGCACGGCGCGCGGGGGGTCATCGGTGCCACTGCGAGCACACGCGTTTCCTCTTCCCCCCAACTTGGGATCCCGCTCCCAAGGGGCTCTTCCGTTTGGCGTGTGCAGCCGGGGCGAGCGAGCTGGCGGGCGGGCGGGCGGGTGAGCTAAGCAGAAAAATTTCCAGCGTCTTGAGGCTCTGCCAAAAATCGACGCGCTCGCTTTGTCCTTTGCCTCGGCGGCCGGGGTGCGACCAGCACGTGTGCTGTTGTGGGGGGGGGGGGGGGGGGGGGGGGCGCCGTGGCTCGGTGTGCAGCAATGGCCGAGCGTTTCTGCTGGCGCATCCGTAACTGTCAGCGTGGGTAATGCCGGCGCGGCCTGGCCAAAGTGCAGCGCTCCGCCAATTACCGCCACCACTGCCCGTGGCGATGGGAGGCGGGGGGCATACATGAATGCGTATGAGGGCCTTCGCCAGCCGGTTTGTGCGCTGCGATGCCAATGACGGCTAAATCCGAGAATGTCAACGCGTCAGGCTCGCGTCTGTGAAATACGACCGCCCGTCACGTGATAACTGTGTTGCGCTTTTCAAAAAGACGATTTGAAAATGCCTTCAAAGATCGCGAACGTGCTTGTGCTTGCGACAGACGCTGTCGAATTTTGAAAATGTTTTTTTTTTTGCCTCTCTCCCCCCTCATCTGGAGATGATTGGCACCCCCTTTTTAATGAGCAAAGTAGAAGGAACTCGATAGGCGCTTGAAAGAATACTCATGCGGTGCATTGCTTTTGCTGACAAGCCTTCGGCGGGATATTATGGGAAAGAATTACGCGGCTTCAATTCACGACTTCATCCGTCTGGTTGAAGGGTACGTTTTTGAATGTCTGTTTAAGCAATGGATATAAAAAAAATTGTAGCTGAATTGTCAAGAGGCAAGGCCTCTCAAGGTCCTCCCAAAAATGATGAGGTGAAAAAATGCCATCATTAGCCTTTTTCACTGCGAGTGGATTCTCTGGTGGCGGAGATTTGTATTCCAAGTGCCGTGAATAAAGATCGTACAGAAAACAAAAGCTAAACCCACGTTTCATAACGAGGGCCAATTTCATCATGTAAATTGGCACAGCTCCCAACACAATTCTAAATCACAGCGATTATGATCCAGGGTCTGGGGTGGGAAAGTATGTTTTACGTCCAAGAACGGAGTGCTTTTTATGTCTTTAACATGTAGAAGAGTTGAGGAATGTTGACAGGTTTGCCTCGTAGGAACACAATGTCCTCATCACACTGTCGGCTGTTAAGGACACCAGCCTGTTTCAGCCATGCCACTTGCACCTGGAGTTCACTGACCGCTTCACATACAGGAGAAAATAGCATGAGTTAGCAAATGTACCAATTCGCAAATGACGCAATGAATAATTTATTAATGAATAAAGAAATGCATTAACAAACGATTGAATTAATAAAAAAATAGTGAATGAATGTACGATTGAATGTCTAGCGACGTGGACATTATCTCATGTCCTGCTGTGCCCCCCCCCCTCGCCCCACAGGAGACACGTCGAGCGAGGCCAGCTCCTTCACCTGCGACTCGAGCACCAACGCCACGCGGGACAGCGTCTCCACTATGACGCGGGACAGCGTCTCCACGGTGACGCAGGACAGCGAGAGCCAGGCCTTCGCTCCGCGTGGGCCGGACAGCGAAAGCGGTGGCAGAAAGGAGGAGGACGACTGCCACGAGGAGGAGGAGGATTACGACGAGGAAGCAGGCGCATCGCTGTCGGCCGCGGCGGCCGCGTCGGCGGTGGCGGCATTGGCCGCGAGCATCGGGGCGGTCGGCAAGGCGGCGCGGGACGCGGACGGGGACGACAACAGCGACCGGAGCGAGTCGGGGGCGAGCGGATCCTCCTTCGAAGAGATCACCGCCGAGGAGGACGGCGACAAGACCGAGACGCGAGCCAAACCCCCTGCCCCGCAGAAGGACACCGCGACGGAGCCGGCCGAGCTGCCGGAGGTGCAGGCTGAGCTGTAGGAGCGCTCTCGCCTGCTCGCTCGTTCTCTCGCTCGCAACGCGCACACGCACGCACGCACGCACGCGCACGCACACGTATCTCCATCGCAGTTAATTTTCACAGGGGACGAGTTAGAAAATTGTAGTGCGTATACCTGCTTTTTATTGTTGAAACGAAACCGCAAAATAAATTTTTGTCAGTCTTATTTGCCCAGCGAGTGAGGGCCTTACTTACAGTGATGTTGATGTGCCAGCAAGGGATCCGAAACAAGTTACTAACAAGGGATACAATGCTCACACAGTGTCTCTTAGAGATGCCAACTTTGAGATCTATGAGAGACACAGAATAATACCTTTCAATTGATGGGGTTAATGTAAAAAAAAAATCAATTAACCCTTTCCCGTTCCAAGACGTCTGCAAGTTGCAGGGTGGGTCCCGCTCACCGCTGAATCTCGGAACGTGCAAGCGGTTAGCGTTATACATTTTTAGAGAGGCTATGCGCCATTATTTTTAAAGACACTGTACTCACCGCAGAGAACTGTAGCAACTCGACCGCACTCCATGATAGCTGGCGCCAAACTGTGCCACACGCCCTCCTGCATGGCCTTGTGGAAGCCTCGGTACCCATAAAGTTATTTTATTTGTTATTCTGAAATAAAAAATGATGACGTTCACGTACGTCATCGGAATGGGAGATAGCTAATGACTTACCATGCTTGGCCGTCCGTCAAGATTATTCCACAATTCTACTTAGTTTCCCACTGTCATTGCAAAAAATTGTTCGTTTGTTGAAATTATCTGGCATGGGCCTGAACCTTTGCTTTCTTATCGGATCTTAATGCCAGTGATGGCTCTTGACATTTCCACCTTAGCGGTGGTGTAGCTCGGCTCTGTAGCATCGTCACCCCTGAGGTCCTGTTGAGCATTTTATTCCTTTGTCTTATTTGCTTGCTATATTTTTTCATTTCTCAATTCCCACAGCCAGCAGTGGCCGATGGCATGGGGGATAAACGATGGCTCGGAAGCGGGCGACTGTAATATCGCCGGCCGTGCAGAGCGCGAGGATGCGAGTTGTTTACTCGAGGTGTCTCTGTTGGGTTACGCCCGTTGCGCGGAAATTTGCTAAAAAAACCTTGCAGCAAGCATCGGCACCGTGTCCCCACGGAGCCCAGCTGCAACGCGTTTCCACTGGGCTGCAATGGCTTGACTGGCATAGCCACCTTGGGGGACCACAGTTTTGTGTGACGCACGGCTTTGCCCGGCACATGCCTTAGCACGCCCCACCGTGCCCCTCTTTCCAATTGGTGGCAAAATTGTTAATTAAGCCGCAATTGTAACAACATTTTACCCGCTGCCGAAAAAATATATATCGAGGGCCGGCCATTAAGCATGACCTGACATGCAGGTAGCTCATTCGTCGTACGCACAGATGCCCTAATTAAGTTGTCTCTTGTTTTGGCGATGCTTAAGTTAAAAGTACTGCCCTCTGCAAATTCGCAGCCATCCCTTGTTTAATAACTAATAATATTAGAGTACATTTGATATTTGCCTAATTCCTATAGCGCTCGACTATAATGAAGAAGCTGTGTTGTGTAGACAGTGTGCAGAAGTTTCGCATTAGGGGGCGATGTTGCAACGTGTAATCCAAATTGAGTAATTTGCGGGTAATCTTTCAAATATTGCTAATTTGGACGTTGACACTGACACACAATGGCCGGGTATACTTGTATGGTAAATACACGCCCCTGTAATAACCACGGCAGCCTGTCAGATTTGAATCGCGAACCTCTGCAACAAGCGGCGAACACGCTTGTTACCTCTGGGCAATGTCACCTCCATATGCCGCCGTTGTTTGTTGCGTTGTGGGGGTTTCTGTTGTAATTCGGTAGAAAAGCTGTAATGCACAGCTTCATGCAGCGCAGCCAATTGTGTTTAAAGCTCTTGTCTTACTGGAGTATGTGATTGGCAGTCGGTCCTCCGTAGAGAACCCACGGTTGAATCTCTGCAGGTGGGAGGGGCGCGCAAAATTACGGAACAATTTCAATTCACGCTTCCAAACAGCACGAAGAAAAATCATGGCAGAGCTTCAGCTTCCGCGTGTCCTGTAATAAACCGTCGGATTTGAACGCAACCTGCGAGTCTGGACATTTTCCAACAGAAATTTCCTGAAAAAAGGAATGATTATAAATGCAGTCCCAGTAAAAAGCCTCTCTGCTGCGATAGCAGCGCATTCACAATGTTTTGCTTCATCACGGCACAGACAGCATCTGTCCTGTTAAGGATTATTAGCAAATTCAAACAGGCGCCGTGCTATAAAAAAATCTTTTATTATCAGCGTGCAAGCGAGTCGTTTCCAAAATTGCTTTGTCCTTTCTCAGGGTTGTTTGGACAATCGCTGGGCATCATTGTTACCACCATCATCATAGCTTTTACCATTCTCATTTCACACTCAATCTGCATTGTCTCAATGAGTTCACACTGAGTGGATTGAAGTCTATGATGATGATGAACATCATAATGATTGCACAGGTCACGACACAAGCACAGATTAATGGTCACGAGTGGAAATGTTGAATCTCCTCTTTGTAACCTCAATGGAATCACGCGAGAGCCTTTTCCATAAACTCAACCCGGCGTTATTCTCCAATCCGTCGTTTTGCAAATACGAATTTGCACATCTTTTTTCGTTACTGCAGGACTATGGAAACTTGCAACTGTTAACGCTTTGCTGCACGCACCGGCTAAGCAGTGCCAACTGCAGACAACATCCGTTAATTCCATCGGCAGTGCGGAGGTAACGCGAATAGTTGAGCAAAGATCATGCAGCTGTTCAAGCCACAAAGAAATGAAGACGTTCAGTCTGCACCTCCTTAACACTTCTCCTGTCCAGCGCAACTAATTTGAAAGATACATTTACTTTTACACTCAGAATGCTTGTGAATTAGCGCCATGTGGCATGACAAAATTACTAAATGTATGCAAGATGTAAAAAAAGGCATGATCGTCATCAGCCATGGTCAATCCACTGCTGGACAAAGTCCTCACCAACCTGCCACTACCCAACCACAATTTTACTAGCACCAACACATGAACTGGATTTATCGCTTGGACTCCTCGGTCTGCCGCGTCCTCTCGTATGCGTTCCATTTCACAAATAATGTTAAATAATAATAATAATTATTGTCGTGATCGCTCATTTTTTTATTTGTTTAGTGCCGTTTTATGTTCAGTGTACGTCGAGTATTTTAAACGAGCTCGCTTCACGGCGAGAGGGATTGGAAGGTGACTGACACGTTGGGGGGGGGGGGGCCACGTGGTCATACTCTCCGTTGTGTTTCAGACGGCACAATTCGGAACAGAATCACTTGAATTGCTTTTTTTTGTTTGTTTCTTTTTAGTTTCCTTCGGGTTTTAAAGAAGTTACTTAGCGTCGATAAATGACATGTTACACGCGAATACATATTTAAGCTAGATTTATTTAATTTGACACTTTTTCAACGTGGCTTTTCGGAGTTATCGATCGACAATGTAACACGCGCCACCGCTATTCGGGGCACTTGAAACCATCCATAGAGAGCGGTAGATATGCATGACCACCACGAAGCCAAGTGGACCTGGGGTGGCTCAGCAGTGGAAAGAGCATGCAGCTCGCAATCGGAAGTTTGCTAGTTTTGAATCCTGGTTGGGTGTTGACTAAGCTCACCGTTTCACCGAGGCTGAAAAACATTATTATTTTCACTTTGTGGGGAAGTTAGCAGTGGTTGGTTGGCCTTTAGAGAGACTCAACCCCGCCAAAATAATATAGACATGCCGCCACCGGCTCGGGGCAATAAATGGAAGATTATCACCACCTCAATGCTAATTTCAGTGAGCATTCACTTTGATTTATTTGGCCATTGTAGTTCGGTGCCGCTGTTGGGAACTGGGCACGCACGTTCAGCGATACACGGGCGCGATGTTGAAGCAGCGTGGTATTGCGTGTGGGTGTTGCTTTATTGAGTTTTAGAGCCAGCTGGCCAGGACTGGGCAAGGACATAGCCCCACCCCGCACTATTCACCCAGGCAACAGGAGAGCACAGACTTAGATATTCCTTCACTTATCACTCCAACAACGATTACATATTTAACAATGCTAAAAAAAACACAAACAATTGACAAGACGAAAATTTTAAATAACTTTTTTTTTACTAAAATCTTATCAAAGATTATCATATTTTCTGGGACAGGCCCTCCTCACGGACACAGGCCCTCCTCACGTGACACAGGCCCTGCTCTCCTTGGCCACTTTCATTGTGTCTACACTGGGCCCCATGTCGACCCCAATGACCTGGATAGCCGTACGACGTGATGTCAGGCCCATGTGGAAGACATCGATCAGCCGGAGGGATGGGGTCGAGACGGCAGATGCACATCAATCCGCAAAAAAAATATTTTAAAAACCTTATCTCAACTTACAGCGTCTTTGTCATTCCACTGCTGGATGAAGGCCTTGTCCATGCTTTATCGGTCATGGTGGTGGTTTGGCTGAACTTCGCCATGAAGGTCAGTACAGGTTGGTGAAGGGAGTGTAGGTCCCAGGACTGGTTCAGGTATCACTTGACAGCGATGTTCGCCGTGGCCACAAATTGGAACTCGGGTCGCTGGGTTCATAGCGCAGTCCGCTAGCTGCTGGGCAAACCACCACACACCACAATACAAATATAAAAAATAACGACACTTATTTTAACACGGCGTATCAGATGCTTTGCGGCCATGAAAAAAGGTGTTATAATTGGCATTCCTTTTATTAAATAGAATCTCGATTTATTTGATTCAAAATTATTTAATCTTCGCGCACGCAGCCCATTAAAACGAAGCGGCGCTGCCATAAATATCCAATGGGGGTGATGTTCGCAACAGGGTTACATTTGAAAAGGATTATTCAAGCAAGCCGTTCGATCCAAAACCTGTTTGCATTTAATACGATTCAATAATTAGTCACTAATTTGCCCTTGGTTTACACACAGGTGTCTGCAGCAGGATGGCACTCTTAAAGGTTACACAAAAATCCCGGATATCCCGCATTAGGCAAAATAGTGCCATTTCATATTTTAAGACGAATGCAATTCTAGATTTAAAGCTTTCGTGACTGCAAGGATCCATACTCTTTGGTTCTATTCGGTAAAGTCACCTAGGTAAAAAATAAATCAACAAAAATCACGACGTTTCGGCCACAACACAAGCGGCCTTCATCATTGATGAAGGCCGCTTGTGTTCATCATTGATGAAGGCCGCTTGTGTTGTGGCCGAAACGTCGTGATTTTTGTTGTTTTATTTTTTACCTACGTGACTTTACCGAATAGAACCAAAGAGGACGAATGCAACGTTATGAGCTTTTTGTTTTAGGCGTTTGGCCGGCATTTTTATTGCTTTTCTTGAAATATTGCCAGTGCTTCAGTGTTCCTTGTAGCTGCTTGGCTTTCGATGTGTCCCCCCCCCTCCTCCCGCGTGTCTTAGTGTGGCGTGTTGTTGGGCACGATGTCCCGACCTTTCCCTCGGCTTCCGAAGAAGCCCGCCAAAGTGTGGAGTGAATCGTCGGACGTCGTGCAAAAGCAGTGCGCAGTACCACCTGAAAACACGTCGGATAGTTGCGCGACACAGCTGTGAGAAACCGAACGGGAGAGTCACTGTACCTGCTGTCCACATTCTATGCATTTCTTGTACGGATTGAATACGTGATGTTATTTCTAGCGTCGTGGTGATCTGGTCTCACCGTGTCTCTCGGGTGACGCGGTGGGGGGGTGGTGGGGGGGGGTCACGGGTCGTGCACAAGCAACGACGTCGAGCTTGCGGCCCCCACCGTGGGCGGAGGAAGGCCGCTCACGTGGCCCGCCGACTCGTCCGGGCGGGCCATCACTCTGCCGTGTACGGCCTTCGCTAGTTCGTGGCCATCGCAGTTTGCGTGTTTATGAGCGAAGCTCACAACACTTTTACCGCACTGGGCATGTAGCGGCGCATCGATTTGTCATCGTCGTCGGCCATAATCTTTCAACTGCTGTGGATGAAGGTCCCCCCAAAGCAATTGCCATATCACGGTCCTGTTTTGCAGCAATTCATCGGTTAAAGTTGGTGGAGTTTTGCCTTTTTTTTCCCGCTCAAGATGCACGCATTGATTCGTGCACGTGATGGCCAATTATTGACAATTCACATATACTGCTGTTACATATTGGCTTATCGGGTGAACTCAACTCTTCGAACGAGATAGAGTACAAATGGGACAGCATTTCCATAGCTGTCAACCCCTTATCAGTGCCAAACTTATTACAGACCGATTCAGATCTTATTGGTCACCCCGTGGCCTTATAAATCTCAACGTTCATCCTACCAAGTCTCACCACAAGGGAGAAACACAAACAAACAGGCAAAAAAATTGCCCTTATTTAACCGGCTTTATGCCGTATGGACCTGAGAACTCAATTCCCCTGTACAATAATACGGGTAAACCGTATGGGTTGACAGGTATGCATGTATTCCCAGGTTGAATCGTTCCCTCGGATTCGTGATGGTTACATGATCATTACGTGCCTCGTCGGCACCTTCCATCGACACAGGATGCAGTGGCATCTTATCAAGGATCCAGATCCCATTGAATCAAACCTGATTGACCACTTGTTTCTGGAGCTGGATCTTGTCCCTGTCACTTGGTTGAGCTCTCCGGAGAGCAATCAGAATGATTTTGAGAATGCATTCGTCATCATGATTTACAGCCCTTTGTCCAACCTCTGCTGGATGAAGATCTCTCCACACCCTTGATGGTCTTCGGAGGTTAATGGAGTTCGTGACGGATTCAGACACCGCTCTCCACTGTTGTCGCCTCTGGTTGGTAACAGAAACTCATGTGGCTGTGTTCGTAACGCGTGGTGTAAAATCCGCTGCACCGCCTCTCCAAAAACAGGGGGGGGGGGGGGTCCCCCTTATGTGGAACATTCTAATTTTTACATTTAAAGAAATGCATATCGTTGGGATACATTTGAACTCGTAGTAAATACGAATGATTAGATAAAACTTGCTTGAGATGGTTGAAGATCTTGCTGATCGAGGCCTCTTGCGGGGTGAGCCGTGGTGGAGTTATCCAGACGAAGGGGCAGGATCTCCTGCCTCCTCGTCTGCTGACGGCGCTGTAGCCACGGGAATGTTCACCAGAAGAAGTTGGTTCTCGTCTGGCCTCTTCTCCGGACCTTCTGACTATGATTGCAGAACGTTTAAATAATACTGAAGTGAGTATTATTATTTATTTGTACCGGTTGTGCAGGGTCATGCGCTTGGTCTCGTTCTCTGCCCAATAGTTTGCACTGCGCCCTTTGACCTCACAACAAAGCCACCTCCCAAGCATCCGGCCAGGTTAAATATGCGTCGAGTTTTATTCCGAGTTCGATTGAAATTTGTGTTCATTTTATTTTTTTCACGAGAATACAACGTGA